GGGAAAAGAAACGGGGTGGAGAAGGAGCAAGGAATGTCTGTGCACAGGACGGGACGGGGCAGGCGGGGAGAAGGCCGGAGAGCCGCGCGGAGCCGGAGGGCTGGCTGCACCAGCGGGCAAGTGGGGGAGGCAGGGAGCGCGGGAGACACTGGGGTATTCCAATGCACAGCGAGTTGTAGCAGGACCCAAGATGGGCTCCGGGTTCGGATCTCGCCTGCTCCCTGGCTCCTCTGTGGGGAACAACCAGCCACTCTGTTTCAGCCTCGGGAGCTCACGTAGGCCCCCATGGGGTGTGACAGCCTGGAGAACGGGTGAGGTTCAGGCAGAAGATCCAGATGTGGGAGGAACCAGGTGGGGAAACGGGCATGAGCAGAGGGGACCCCGAGCAGGCCAGGGCAGGCGCTGGGCTCAGTGGCGCTGCGGCTCGGACTTCCAGATGAAATGCACCTTCCTGGGATTGCCCAGGTCACCGTGAGAGAAAGACAGGAAAAAAGCAGTGCCCCCCCCAAGGCAGCACCAGTCAATGCCCCGCGACCGGGCCTCGGACTCAAGAGCCCAGCACCCGTCCTTGGCCCAGATGGGTGAACAGCCCCTCCCTTTCATTTTCTCCTGCTCTGGACGTGTTTGCGGCAAGTCTCGGCGCCAGGAGCAACGCGAGTGCTGCATCCAGAGGGCCCCTTCCTGACTGGATCAGGGAGCGTCCGCAACCTGAAGAGCCCTGCTCGGAGCGGAGCCGCGTTCCATCCAAGTCCAGGATGCTGCAATGACTGGTTTTTTCCCTTCTGCATCAGCTCCAACGCGCTCCACCCAAGGGGAAGGCCTCCTTCCCTGGAAGAGAAAGCATCCTGAGAGCGAAGGCCTCCGAGGAAGCTCCTCTTGCAGCAAAAACAATGGAAACCTCTAGGAGCACCTTAAAACTGACAGATTTAGTGTGGTGGTTTGTGCCACGCTGAATCCATTAGTCTTGAACATGCTGTGAGATTTTGGCTCGGCTTTTAGAAGAATCTCTCCCCTAACCCATCCCCCAGGTCCCACGGTCCCTTTCTGCTTCAAGATACAGTTGCTTTTCTTCTGTGCGTTTTCAAGCAGGAGATGAGGTTTGTGAGCCAGGGAAAGGTGCCAAGACGGGCGACCGGCGGTGCCACGCTAAGCACTTCCAGATACATTAAGTGGTATTTCAGGTATGTGGGCTTCACCTTCGCCCCTGCCTGACAGGCTCTGGTTGCATAATTCACCGTAGGCGTCCTCCCCGTCCAGTGGGGGTGGAGTGGCGGCCACAGAGCTCGCCTCTGGGACCTCCTTCTGATGAGCAGGGACACGGGCGGCTTCTGTCCCTTCCCATCCGCTACCACGTGTCGGGGTTCCCGATCAGGTCTGTGATTGCTGTATTTTTTAAAGGCATTTGTGACCCACATTTCGGGGGCAAATGGTCCCCAGGTGGGGTGCAGCCAGGCCAAGGCACCAGGCGAGATGCGGACGTGCACAGCGGAGGTGGGGCTGCCCACTGCTTGTGCCCCGGCCGGAGGCTCGTCCTCTGAGCAGGCGCACGAGGTCCCGGAGGGGGATGCCGCTGAGCCACCTGGGCTGAACGCCCAGCAGGAGGCCCGTCGCCGTCACCCTCACGTCCATCCGGGGCAGGGGCTGGTAGTGCCAGGAGCCAGCCCCCTGCTGCTCGCTCGCCTGAAGTGGCCGGCCAGGAGGGCCTTCTGCCTTGCTTGCGCGCTCAGGCGTCCTCAAGAGAAAGCGATTCAGGAGCCGGGTTCTGTCCAGCAGCAGCGATGGGGGCGGCTGAGCCTCGGTGTCCTGCAGTAAGAACTTCCGCGGAGCCCTAGCTGATGCCGGAAGCAACGCGCTTCCTCCGTTCCAGTGCCTTGTTCCCCGGACCCTGCTTT